AAATATTATATACATGTACAGGTATGATGACATAACAATATTGATGTAATGACTGTAAGGTGTTGTAGGTTTTTTAAAATAATTTTTAAAAATCTGCTAAAAAATAATAATAAAGTGGATGAGGTTGAGAAACACTGGCTAGACTGGATGGACCTGATCTAAACAGGAAACACTATTTCAGACTCAGTATATATAGCAATTTAAGTCCTGGACTTGGGAAACCCAGATTCTCCATCTTTTTCTTACTAAAACAAAAAGGCTACAAGCTACCACCTATTCACTTTAGCATCTCCCGTAAGACTAAAGGTAAAGGTAAAAGTTTCCCCCATCCACTTGTTTCCAACTCTGGGGGCAGTACCAATCTCCATTTCTTAACCAAGGGAGCCAGCATTGTCCAAAGACACTTCCATGGTCATGTGGACAGCATGACTTTAATCCAAGGTGCCGGGAATGCTGTTACCTGCCCATCAAAGTGGTACCTATTCATCTACTCGCATTTGTATGTTTCGAGCTACCAGGTGGGCAATTCTTGTATTTTTCTCTTCAATTAAAGGCAGGACGGAAAAAAATGTTTCTATGTGATATTCTGCTTTTCCTTCAGAAAGCAGATGGTATCTTTTCCTACCTCTTTCAGTCTGAAGTAATTTAGGCTAAGAGATTCAATTCAATTTTCAATTTCAATTTATTAAATTTATATGCTGCTCTTTTCCCCCGAAGGGGACTTCGAGATGGTGACTCGAAGTCATCCAAAGATTTTCAGTTTAGGTAGGGATTTGGTCCTGGGTCTCCCCACGCCAAATCCAACACTCTTGTCATGACAACAGTGTAGTGGCCTAATCCACAAATCATGCCAGCTGGCTTGTTTATGTTGTACATTATGCAATTAATTACCGTTGGCTGAGCTCACAAAATATGCTAAGCCAAAATCAAACAACCCATGATTTTTTTTAATATAATTTAAAAATGGATGGGCCATCTCCCATCTGGGGAATTCTGGGAAGTTCACACATCTTAAAAAGTTTCTGAGGTTGAGAAACACTGGTCTAGAGGGGAAGCCCCCAACCTTTTGAACACCAGGGACCGGTTTTGTGGAGAGAAGATTTTTCTGCGGACTGGAGGGAGTGTGGTTTCGTGTGCTGCCTGCATCCCACAGACGGGGCTTTGCTTGTTTGTGTGGCCCGGGTTCTGGCATGTCGTGGCCCAGTGTTGGTCCATGGACCAGAAGTTGGGGACTCCCAGTCTAGAGGATAGCTCAACATCAAGATTCCTATTTGTTAGGCACCCTCCTTTTTACTGTTGTTCTATTTTGCACATCCAGCACATGGCTGATTGCAATTGATAACCAAGGGAGTTTGAGAGCCACTGTGATACAGCCGTTAAGGGGCCAGGGGTGTAGGACTGAAGAGACCTAGGCTGAAGTCCAACTCTAACAAAGAAATTCACTGGTTGACTTTGGGTCAGGCAGTCACTTTCAGCTCAGCTATAACCCATAAGATTATTGGTGTGGGGGGAAATGGGAGGTGCCTGCTGTATTGAGCTCCTGAATGAAAGGCAGGATATACATTTAATAAATAAATAAGTAAACTAGCAAGTTCTTTTCTTTCTAATGTCTCGGACTTGGCCATTTTAAATCAAGGAGGAAGAAAACGAAAAATAGGTGCCTCACAAACCATTAAAGAAAGCCAACTTTGATGGACTTCTAAGCACATTGTGGAAGGAATTACAGCTTTAGAAGGTGATTTTCTTCCTGTTAAAAATCCCACTTCCGAGATCAAATTTTGTTGAAACCAAAAAATTTTCTCCGAGGCATAATATCGGAGGGATATAAGAAAGATGTGCTTTATCTAATTATACATGTACTAACTGCGGTGCGTATAACTTATACGCAGTATTGGAAAAAAGAAAATACACCATCAGAGTTAGATATATTTAGAAAAAATTTGGCCTGTGCAGAAGCAGATAAGCTCACCCTTGAACTAAAAAATAAAGGGGGATCGGAATATTTTGAAATTTGGAACAAATTTTATTATTGGTATAAGACAAGGTGACAAGGCTGGAACAAACTGCAAATAATGTGATTGGATGGAAGGATAGATAATGTATTAAGTAGGCTAACAGTTATTGGATGAGATTATGTGTATATAATGTGACTGTATGGTCACTTCGACTTCGCGGTGCTGCACTGTTTTAAATGAAAAAACAATAAAAATATATTTCCAAAAAAAAAAAAATCCACTTCCCATCTTGGCAACTTGTTGTGTTGGGTTCCTACCTTCTTCTCGGACTTCTTTTCCCTGCGCTTGACATGCTTCACTTTCACTGCACGTTTCCGCAACACGGGATCAAGGAAGGGCACGTCGTCTGTGTCACTGAGCCACGGCTAAAAGAAGGAATAAGACACAAAAGAAAAAAGTGGGGGGAAGTTTAACATTTCCAGAACAAGACTTTTAAAAAGAAAAGTCAAACAGCTGTCAGCTTTGCTTCCATTTCTTCTTTCAGGAAAATACCATCCCTGTAATTCTATTACTCTGGCCAGCAACTTATTGTGTAATAGAACCTCTTTGAGAAAAAGAAAAAGAAACCAGGGTAATTACATTTTGGGATTATTTAAAAAGAAAAATGAAAATGTAAAATAGAAATGTATTGAATACATGAAACTGCATGCTCCAGCTCCATTAATGGTCAAGTTGTCACAGATGCTGACAATCCAAGATTTTCTTTTCTTCAGGAAGATTGGAATTTAGAAAGGAAAGCGCATCTGGCCTAGGAGTCAATGCTGCTGATCTTTAAACTATTAGTTAAGCACACAACAACATCTCAACATGAGTAGAAATTCACCCTCTATCGGAGGCAAACATTAAAAACCCCAGTTTTATGGGAGCCATAAGAGTGTAACATCTGCCTTGGGCTCACTCTGAGTCACTCTATTCACACAACTTGCTTCCAGCTTCCTAGGATCTTTCTAACGCATTTGAGTTAGAATTCTTAAATGCCCAGCTAGCATGGCCAACAGACATGGAAAGTATATACCTTTGCCAGTTAGGTGCTTTGTAAGTTATACAGATAGTCCTTGCTTAACAACCCTAATTGGGATCAGCAGCTCTGCCACTAAATAAAACAGTCACTAATTGGGAAAGCATGTGATTGACTTCCAACTGGAAAGAAATAAGACTACCCAGTTTCACACCTCCAACTTTTGACTCCTAACCACTCCCCTGCCTTTGAATGCCCGAGTGCCTGCTTACTGTCTTGTACACTAAAGGCAATGTTTTTGCACTCTAGCCCAGAGATGGGAACCACATGCTATGTGCTTCACTCTCTTGAAACCCCTGTCTCCAATATTTCCACTCTATGGGGAGGAGTGGGGAGGAAGCAAGCAATGTATATAGGCAATCTCCCCTTTGCCTCACCCTTTCGCACTGTCAGTGCAATCATTCAACTTTTGAGGCATGAAAGTACAGTTTACTCTCTTGAAATCTCTTTCCAATTTTTCCGCTCTGTGGCAAGGAGCGATTGGCTAAAGAAACTGCTTGCTTTTTTTTTTCTCCCATAGAGGAGAGATTGGAGAGAAAGAGATGTCAGGAGAGTAAGCTGTTTGCCTAGCACGGGGGTGTCAAACTGACATCGTCATGGCAGCATCACGTGATGTATTGGGACATTTCCCCCCCCCTTCGCTAAATGGGCTGTGGGCGTAGCCAGCATGCGACTCATCCAGCCAATGGGACGGGAGTTTGACAGCCCTGGCCTAGCACATCTGCAGCTGTCAGATTTGAACTATCCATGAGATCACGCTGCCCTCAATATATAGAAGAGCTTACTCTCTTGAAATCTCTTTCCAATCTTTCTGCTCTGGGGGGGGAAGGACAGGCAAAGGAGCAATTGCCTACAGAAATCACTTCCTTTTTTTCTTCCCCAACTCCTTCACAGAAGAAAGAGATTGGAGAGAAAAAGATTTCAAAGGAGTACTGAAGCATCAGGCTGCTGGCAGAATCACATTGCTTTCAATGTGTAGAAGAACAAACAGCTTACTTTCTTGCAGTCCCTTTCTCTCCAATCTCTCTGCTCTGCACTCTGTGTGTTTCGGGGGTCAGGCATAAGACAATGCATGCTGACTGCAATAGCAATCACATGACTGAAGAATGCTGCAAAGGGTGTGAATAGGTTATGGCTGGGCCAGTAAATGAATGAGAGGTAAGTGAGAAATATCTATACTACATCAATAGAGCACCTAACTAACAAAAGCCTATTATTATGCCTTAAGATACGTGGCACTGTCTCATTAAAAGAAATGCCTAACCCAGCCTCAAATAAGCAAAATAAGACTGGCCATTTGTATTAATTTTTTAAAAATGGCTCTTTAGTGCCTATTACACTCTAGTTCACTGTGCAAAGGTTATTATGCAGATAGTCCTTGATTAATGGCAGTTATGGGGACTGGGAATACTCTCTCTAAATGATGCTATTGCAAAGTGCAATATCATGTGAACCCACCAACTTACAATGGCAGTTCCAGCGGCAGGCATTAAGACGAATCCCAATACGTCCCGTGACGGCCATTCGTGACCTCCCGCAGGCTTCTCCATTGACTTTGCTTGGTAGAAGTCAGCATGGAAGATCACAAATAGCGATATCATGGGTCAGGGGGACACGGCTACCATTGTAATTGCGGTTGCCAAACGCCTGAATTGCAATCCAGTAACGATGGCGATGCTGTCTTTGAGGCTCAGCCATAAATCCCCTCATTCAGCACTGTTTGTAACTTTGAAAGCAGTTGCTGAACGAGCAATGGCTACCTGCACTTCCCACTACAGACTCAGGTAAGCGCGCTAGCTCTTATATTTAGAAACCAAATCAAAGACCCGTATTTTTTCCCCCAGATGTATGTTCTGTGTGGCAATTTGCAAGAGCTTGTCTGACAAAGTAACCACCTCTTGACCATTTACAAATATTCTTAATTACGGGCTACGGGGAAGAACTGTCCATGGAACAATGATCAATAGTGCAGCTCCTGCGAGAGACATGAAACGTCCATAAGAAAACCTACGGGCGGCTAAGCAAAGGGCAAGAGGCAAGCAAAAAGCCTAGAATTGGGCATCTTTGCAGATAGAGAGGCAGAGGAGTCAGCAGAAAAAGCAGAGCTGAGAGGAAGCGGGGTAGGGGGGGAAGAATCAGAGGGAGAAGATAAAAGGAATAAGGGGGAAAATCAAGGCAAAAAAGATTGCTGGAGAATAAACTGAAGATACAAAGGCTCAAGAAATAGTCGAAAGTGGGCAAGCAGGGAGATTTAAATGCTGAGAAACTGAGTCAAGTCCCACATGAAATGTTGAGCCAAACATTTAGCCGGAGTTCCCAACACCTTTGACAGATGTCCTTCCACGGCCTTGAATGACAATGGCAGGGGCCCCAGGACATGCACTATATCCTAGGGCAGTTGTTGTTCTACCCAAGCAAGCATTACCCTGCCAACATGACCTAGGAATCCCAAGGCAATGGGTCTACCATAGGTCTCACCAGATTCTGATCATCGAAGGCCCCTGAACAAAGCTCCTGATACAAATCGGGATCTATGTGCAGATCATCATCCGACAGAGGCTCAGGTGTGGCAGCCGATTCTAGCTGTTCCTTTAGCATCTGCAGATCATCCTCCCGCCCCCGTAACATCTATTGAGCGATTGGGGAAGTGGGGGAAAAGAGCGGGGGGAAGCAGTGAGAGAGGGAAAAAGGTGGGGAAAGAAAAGAGAAAGAGAGAAAGAGGAAAGCATTAAAGAAGCCATTCTGCCGGGCTTCACAAAAGCACCAGGCACCAAGACAGTGCAAACACACCCCCTTCTCTTCCTGTGCACAGAGTGGCAAACAGAGGAAATGGGGGCTTGCTGAATGCCAAGCGGCAAAGCGCGGGCAGCAAAAAGAGAATCCCCAAACCCACTTCTTTAAAAAAAATAAAAAAAGGAGGAGAGGAGAAAAGGCTTAGAGCTCAAAGAAGCAAGGCCAAACGGCCCGGCAAAACCTGCCACCTAATACAATACAGAAAGCATGCAAACTGGGTCTTCCAGCACCCGGCCTTTCAAATACGAACCCCGCTATGGGTTAAGCTGGATCTATACAGGCAGCAGAATGAGGTGGAGATATGATGAAAGGGTGGACTGCATCATTAGAGAGAAAAGGCCTAGGAATCACAACGGTTGGCCTTACTTGGGGTTGGAAGAAGAGGACAACAAACCTCATACAATTAAAAAGCTTGGAAACCCAAAGTAGGGCAGAGGGGAAAACTTTCTCCCTCTTCTGTCTTGGTTTTCTCTTTTAAATGGGAGATTCACATGGGAGCACCGTGCTATGTACAAGTAGTCCTTGATTTATGACCACAATGGAGCCCAACATGCGTCGCTACGCGAGACGATTGTTAAGTGAGTTTTGCTCCATTGTTATGACCTTTCTTGCCACAGTCAAATGGACCACTGCAGGTGTTTACATTCGTAATACGGTTATTAAGTGAATCTGGCTTCCCTATTGACTTTGCTTGTCCCAAAGTCACCTGACCCCGGGGACACTGCAACCGTCATAAATATGAGCCAGTTGCCAAGCAGCCAACTTTTGATCACGTGACCATGGGGGTGCTGCAACAGTCGTTACGTGTGAACCATGGTCATAAGTCACTTTTTTCCAGCACTGTTGTAACTCCAAACGTTCACTAAAGGAAACATTGTAAGCTGAGGACTACCTGTATGTAAAAGAGAGAAGTTCCACCCACAATCTCAAATAGCAATAGCAATAGCAGTAGACTTATATACCGCTTCATAGGGCTTTCAGCCCTCTCTAAGCGGTTTACAGAGA